CGAGATCCTGGAACAGCCGGGTCCAAATGGGTTCAAACGGGTCCAAATGGGTTTAAACGGGTCCAAATGGGTCCAAATGATTTTCATAGAAATTACAGCTACAGAAATCAATCCAACATGTAAAGATCAGGATGTTTTTCTAGAACTGTTCTTTAACCTCAGTGTTGACCCGGTCACCTAGGAAACGGGTCGGGATCAAGGTTCTACAACACTCGACTTTTTGGCCAACATGAAAATCGCATTGAGGTGAAAACACGGTGAAGGCAGCATGATGCTGTGGGAAGCTGCTGAGAGTAGATGGAGGAAAAGCTGTTGGAGGCGGAGCTTCACCTGCAGCCAGAGCTGTTCATGTGGCCTAGTCAAAGTCTACAGTCACACAGCAGGTCTGGAAGTTCAATTCCTGTTTTTCCCTGAGTCTGACTGTTCTGTGGCGGTTGGTAATTAACTGCGACTGCAGTGAAGGTTTTCAGACGTTCAGATTTACCGTCTGGTTCTTCTGCTGCAGATTCATGCTGCCTGTCTGACAAATGATGGTTCAGGCTGCAGAGGAAAGGCCGCTCACAGAGGTTCTTCATTCTGGACCCAAATAACTTCAGTAGACACTGCTGGTAACCGGTCCTATAAAGTACTGGGCCGAACCGGGCCGGCAGAGTAATAATGCTAAGTAAATCTGCATGGCGCTGTCCTGCAGCTGGGGGCAAGCTGCTCTCCAGTTAGTAAAATGAAAAAGACTCACCGGTCCTGAGCGTGTCCTCCGCCTCCTCCGCTGGCGGGCTCCACCCAGGGGGGCGGGGCTTCCCGCCGCCGTACTCCCTCAGCATGTGGTGCAGCTGAGCCGGCGTCAGGGCGGCGAACTCGGCCCTGAGGGACGCCCAGGACGCCTGCAGGGCCACAGACAGAAAGGTCATCGATGCTGGAGGTGATAAACATCAATAGATGAGGAAAAACCCCAGGAAAGTCAAACGTCACGTGGTTCTTTCCAGCTGAATCAGAGGAAGTGAGACGTTCTGTGTGACGGCCGAGTCCGACTGGAGGCGGAGTTTTAAATCTGTCTGTTAACAACAGAAACCTAAAATTGTCTCTGGATGTTTTGTCTGGAAGCTAAATGCTCCTAGCAGGCGAGACCCCAGCAGGCTGGGTTATCCACTGCAGCAGCAGCTCCAGCAGCAGCTCCAGCAGCTGCAGCAGCAGCTCCAGCAGCTGCAGCAGCTGCTGCTGGAGCAGCTCCAGCAGCAGCAGCAGCTCCAGCAGCTGCAGCTCCAGCAGCAGCTCCAGCAGCAGCAGCAGCTCCAGCAGCAGCTCCAGCAGCTGCAGATGGAAAACTAAAAGCCATGGAGGGCGTGTCCCGCTCTGCAGCGACCACAAGTCGTCTCATTCCAGAGCGGTGATATTTCTGAAATCCTCAGCCTGGCAGCAGCATGGAGCCGCCGGCTGCTGCTGCTTTGAGTCATGCTGTGGAAACAGGTGTCAACTCAACATGCCAGACTAACATCTCATACTACAACAAGCCCTGAGGGTCAAATTAGCTGTACTTTGAGCTGCAGTACATCTATTTTTGTGCTTTAGAAAGGAACAACATTTTCATAGTTTCTAACAAACAAGATGGCCGCCACAGGACGCTCTGTTCAGTCTACAGGATTTTCTACTGGAGGTAAATCCTTCTGCCTGACCCACAGGAACATTTTCTACCAACACGAGGCCCGGATATTTTGGGTTCATCAGAGTTAAAACCTGTTATATTTCCACAACACAACGGATCAGAATCACACAATGAGGAAAGCACCAGCAGAAACAAATAGAAACATGATGTGATGTTTGCTTGTGAGTTTTAAATGAAGGTAGGAAGGGCGGGCAGGGAGAGTCTTTATAAAACCTTACTTTAACTGACCTCTGCTTCCTCAGCCAAACCTTCATGTGAAGCTCATCAAACCGTTTCTATCCTGAACTAAAGTCCCTCCGACTCCCTCTAATCCGTCTGAGGATCAACTTCATCCCAAAGCGCCGTCTCACAGCAACGCTCAGTCCAAACGCCGCGCCACAGACGGACGGGGGCAACGCAGCAACGACCACAACATGGCAACCCGAGGGCAGAACGACCACAACATGGCAACCCGAGCCACCAGATTTCAGGGGTAATGTGAGCTGTCGGTGTTTCCCGTTTACCTGCAGCTGAACCTGAACAGGTGAGGAAGAGAACATGTTGCTTAGGGAGGACGAAGAGTCAGAGCAGTCTAACAGGAAGTGGACAAACGGTTTTCTGGATGTTTGGTCTGAACGGCTGGATAAAAGCAAACAGGATGTGAGGCGGTCCCAGGTTTAACATTACTCCGCTCCAGGATTTACTCTGGATTACATAATCTGCAGGAACGGCTACAGCTCCATGATGTCATTTGCTGGCCGACTTCCTGCAGCCCGTTTCCTTCTGCTCAGAGGCAGAACAACGAGCAGCGAGTCGCGTCCAGAATCAGAACCGATTACTCAGATCCTGATGCTGAGAATAGAGGGGGTAAAACCCGTGAGGCTGACATCAGCGTAGCTCCGCCCACCGGCAGTCAGAGAACAGGAAATGAGCAGCGGATGTGAGCTGACCTGCAGAAGCGTTTCTTTGGGTGTGGCCAGCAGATTGACGGCGGCGGAGAGCTTCTGCAGGAACTGAGTGGCCATGCTGGCCAGGCCCTGATTCTGGACCCAGTCCATGAGCAGGTCCAGGTTGGCCCGGATCTGCACGCCACGGGACCACTGGTAGAACCCGGCCACGGACCCTGAAGAAGCAGAACCTCCGGTTAGCCAGAGCAGCCTACAAGGCCAGCATAAACAGAACCCAAACAGTAAAAAATAAAACGAGCTGCAGAGATGCTGCTCAGATTTAACCTGCTGGTTCAGTAATAAACTCAGTTTTAAGACCTGATATTACTGATAATGAACATTTCAACATGAAATCTGCTCCTGTACAAAACCAGCCAACTTTCATTTCCATAAAGTTCTTTACTTTGTTCATGCAAACACTCAAACTGTTTCCATGAATAATAACATATTGACCAGATGGACCAGAACATGGCAACCCGAGATGATGAAGAGTCTCAGACATTACAACATGCATGACGGCGGTAACATAGCAACCAAAACAAGAAACGGCAGCCACCTTCAAAATAAAAGCTGATTTTAAAGATGGATTCAGATTTCTGTTCAAAGTGAACATTTATGAATGATTAACACATCCTGACTGTGTTGATGCAAATATTAAACATATAGCAGTTTGTCAAAAGCTAAAGTAAAGGGAGAAACAACCAAACGGCCATGATCCGCATTCATAAGGCTGGGGACGCTAAAGCTAAAGCGTGAGCTGCTACCTCTCTCCATGAGGCTGTTGAACAGCGAAGCGTTGATGAAGAAGAACAGGTAGGCACAGAGCTGCAGGGAGATGTCCGGATGCACCTGGAAGGCCGACAGGAGCTCCAGCGCCTCCTTCAGGACCTGCAGGATGTTGCTGAGGCTGACAGGAAGTCGCAGCTGACCGTCCTCAGAGAAGGGGTTCCCGTCCAGCAGGCCGCCCAGGGCCGGGTACATGCTCTGCAGGGGGACAAAGGCATGACGACTCTGAACTCTGAGGAGGCCTTTCACTGCACAGCTGAAATAAATGCAGCAGCAGAATCTCGTTAGAACGACAAACTTTCTCGTTTTGAGATAAAACTACACCGAGTTTACGATCGGTAAAAGGCAAAGCGGCTCAGAACGACTCCTGTGGAAAAGTTCAAAGGTTACAGAGGGAAGAAGTTTGTTTTTAAACCATCTGAGTATCTGCTTCTTCTGGCATGTGCACGTACACGTACACACGTACACGTACACACACACACACACACACACACACACACACACACACACACACACACACACACCATAAGTGAGATAGAGCCTTGAGGAGGAGCCAGCAGCTCAGCTGCGGTGCATGTTGGACCCCTGCTGGGAAGCAGCAGATGGCGGCTGGTTTTAACGGGTCGAGGTGAAAACCTGACAGCTTCAGCTCAGGAATCCGGTTTGCACATTGAGAACATTCAGTCATCCACAGGAAATCACAGGGAAGAGCTGCTTCTGCTCCTCCCTGCTCTGCTGACAGCTGCTTTCCTCTGCAGGATCATCTGGGCCCAAAACGCCTCAATACGTTAAAATACAGACGAGCACAGCAGAACTAAGAGCTTATAAAACACCACACTGAAAGCTGCTGCTGATTATTACCAATCCATAACCTATCGAAACTGGATCAGCAGAGCTCATTTCTTCAGTTCAGGATAAAATCCGTTGGTCTTAAAAGAGAACAGGATGTTCCTGTTTCCTTCACTGTAGAGGCTGCAGGACGACCTGCAGACGCTCCGATCATAAGAACCGATCAGCTGGCTGCGGCCTGCAGCAAACGCATCAACAAAGCAGCTTCTGGCTCCGTCCCTCTACAGAATCGTCCAACAGGAAGTCGGCCGTCAGCCGTCAGGGCGCAGCAGCGGCGCTGAGCTGCTGCAGTGGGTTTGGATCTGCAGGTAAAGTCCTGAGATCTTCTCCAGTAAAACAGGTTTGGCTGAAATTCTTTCTGGAATCATAATATACAAGAATAATAATCATCTGAGACCCAGCAGGGAAGCGGCCATCTTTACGGACATTTTGCATGATGCATCATGACCAACCGACTGAGGATGGAAGGTTATCCTGGTTCTGATTCTACCAGTTCTGCACATCTGACCTGAAACTTTTGCCCGTTTCTCAGTCAGGTTTGGTGGAGAAAACCTTTAAACAGCTGGTTGGTCAGATGGTGACCTTTGACCCCAGTCTCATCATCCCAGAATCAGAAAAATGTCTTTTGATAAGAGTTTGATTTATGGTTGTTGATAAATTTCAGTTAATGGTTTTAAAAGCTGTCAGTTTTATCTGAAAATGGATTTTTCTGTTTTCTCCACTGTTTGTTCTATGAGAAGGTTCAGAAATATTAAACCTGCAGATTAAATGCAGTGACTGCGACCGGCCTGTCTGAAACAGGAATGATTTTTCGGAGCCGTTTGTGGCGCTGTGAAATGTACCAGAAAATGAAAACAGAAACTCTGAACTTCCTGCAGAATCTGAAGTTCAACCATCGGTTTGCTGAAATGTGCCAGTGAATCCTGTGAGAATGTTTTCTCAGGTAGAAGTGAGCCTGGGACAGCGATGATGTGACTGGTTGTTTCCCAGCAGGTCCAGTCGGTGGAAGCTGTGCAGCTCCAGATAACTGCTGTCAGTGTTTACACTGCAGAGTGGAAAGGACGCCCCGCTCTCTCCCTCCCTGCTCTTTCCTGCCGGAGAGCGTTTCCACGCTGTTATTGTGTTCTGGGTCTGGAAAACGCTCAGTGAAAACAGACTGTTGTGTGAGCACAGCCAGGCTTCCTGCGTCACATGTGGCAGTGGGGGCAGACCTTGGTGAGGTAGTAGACCGACTGCTGGAAGGTGAACATGATGACCTCCTCCAGGACCGTCATGGCTTCCTCACAGGCCGACTGGGTGGACCACAGCTCCGCCTGCAGCCGCTCTGATGGAAACCAGAACACAACGCTTTTTACCACCTTCACAGGGCTGGAGGTCCTGCCGGCTCTAAAGAGGCAAACAAAATGTCCACCTTGGTCCATGCTGTCCCGTCTCCATGGCAACAGCTGGGGGACCTCATGCTGGATGAAGTGCAGCAGCTCGATGGAGTTTGCCATCCACAGAACCAGCGGCTGCAGACCTGAGATCAGTTCCTCCAGACTGAGCTGCTGCAGCTGATCGGCTGCATCGTCAACGGAGCTGCTGACGAACAGACAGGAAACACAGATGAAGCTGATCAGCAGCCCGTCTGCGTTTAATTTTGCTGCCTTTCGTGTGATGAAACAAGGTTTCTGAAACGTTTCACCTATAAAAATTAGAGGTGTGCCGATCGATCGGTCACCGATCATAATCGGGCCGATTTTCATGAAAAAGTGCATGATCGGCGATCATTGGCTCTTGTTGCCGATACCGATCATCACTGCATCTCATTTCCAGCCTGCCTGTGCAGCTGGTCTCCTCTTTCCTTCACTCTGCGCAAATGCGCAGCAACAAATCCTACGCGATGTGTAACTATAACGCACTGAGTGAAAGGGGAAGTTTGCGTGTTGTTGCGAAAAATTGAAGCAGGTCAAAATGCATCAACACAACGAAGCTAATACGACATAAAAACAATGCCATACTCGACGGAATTTGGCTACATCGAGGCTCACTGCAGTAAAAAAGACATACGGAGGATCAGATAGCAGGTAAAGCAGCGCACAGCTACAAACACTCACCCGGATTAGCATAGCGGTCAGAAAGCTAAACAAATAACCCGCAAAATTATTTAAGTCTTCGAGCTGCGATATAAGACGCTGGTTCTGCTCTCGCTGTTGAACCGCTGCTACGCTACAGGTAGTAATATTTGACAGACGGAGCTTCGCTTCTGCTCCACCTGGTAGTGACTCTCACACCGAACCTCTGCTTAAAGCTGCAGCATCTAACCTAAAAAAAATAAAGTTTATATACGTATTAAAACTTTCGCTGTCCTAACATGAGACAGATAATCTCTGAAAAAATAATCGACCTCCTCCCTGATCTGCATAATTACTCCGCTCAGTCAGAAAGCCACTCAGAACTAGCAGTAATCAGCTAGCCGCCATGCTATCAGGAAGTTTTCATTCAGTAACTCTGGATTGTTTATTGTAATGGATCCTGTTTTTGCCTTTGAATGTTGAGTTTTATACTTGAATTTTTTGGCAATGTTGAGAGGTTTTACTTTGGCTCTTTGTATTATTTAGCCTCTTCAGAGCCTTCATATGTTTTCAGCCTGTTAATATAGTATTATCAATAGCAGTACAATTTGCACAATGCCTGTTTTGTTTAGTTTTCTTCTTGAAAAAAGTTATTAAAAACAAGTTTTTGTCTAAATTAAGGTGAATTCATGGTTCCTTTTTCCACATAATGTAACCGGTAGGGTTTATGATAAAAAATAAATAAATAATAATTATGTGATCGGTATCGGCAGGAAAAAACCTGATCGGCACATGTCTAATAAAAATACTTGAATGTGACAAAATGTAGAAAAGTTTAGGTGTTTTATTATTTTTGTAAGACACAGATATTAGTTTAGTTTCTCTTTATAGACTGCAGTTAAACATCTCGATGATGTGGACTCACGCTTCTGGTTGCATTGCAGCGAGTTCCTTTGTCTTCTCCTGAAAGGTTAGATCACATGATCACATGAACACATGAACACATGAATTACTGTAGAAAACATGTGGCTGAGTTCAGACCAGCGTTCCTGCTGCTTACCCACGTAATGAGCTGGATCTGGCTGGCGATCCGGAGCAGCAGCTGCCTGAAGTGAGTCAGCTGGAAGGAGCCGGCGGAGCGCTGGATGCAGAGAATCAGCAGGAAAGCAGGAGTCAGCTTCGGTTCGTTCTCACTGGGATCCACCATGTCCAGGATCTCCTGCAGGACCCGTTCCTCCTGCTGCAGCTCATAGCGCAGCGCAGCCTCGGTGCCCTCCAGGCTCCTCCAGCAGGATGCCGGCGGTTTCCCCTGGAGCCGCTTCACAGTGATGCAGGAGCCGCAGGACGAACAGGAAGTGCCAGTGTCAGAGCCCGGGCGGAGCCGGGCCATCCAGGGCGGAGCAGGAGGAGAACCCGACCCGCCGGTGGGATCCTTGAACAGGAACAGGTAGTGCTTCCCCAAACCAATCAGGTCTCCAGGATTCAGTTCTACTTCCTCGTCCAGAAGGAAACCGTTTCTGGTGACGGGGGCCCCGTGGAGGGGCCTCAGCAGGGTCACAGTCTTTCTCTGCTTTCCTGAGGAACTCTGGGAGTTGGAGTCCAGGCGTCTGACACGGCAGTGCTGCGGCGACACGTCAGGAGCAAACAGGAGGATGTCGACCTTGAGCCGCTCCTCATCCTCTCCGGTACTGTGCTCCTTGCAGCAGCCGAAGATGGTGCTGCTCCCGCTCATCAGGTAGATCACAAAATCCTAAAAGATCAAAATCAATCACTTCCAAATCCTGCAACACCAGACTGCATCTGCTTAGGACTCTTATTTTGAAATAAGAAAGGAAGTAGTTGTTGAGTTGCTCCTTTATGTTGACATGATCAGCTAATAACTACAGATCAATAATCAACAAGGCCTGTAAAAACAGAGGTGAACATGCTAACGCTATCCTAGCCTAGACCTGATGATGCCAGACGGAGTTAAACTAAACAAATGAAGTAAAGATGAAACTGGAAAGAAGCTGCTAACATTATTACAGAAGCTGGAAACTGTCGTAGATTTAAATATGGTGTCTGTCACCGTTATCTCCCGCTAATCCAGCAGACTTGGCGCATCTTCTGGATCTGCCAGGGTGTCTGGGATTGGACTGATCCCCTTGTGTAACAGTCAGGAAATCAGCCAGCAGTGTGAACGGAACCAGGATTAGGCGCTAAGAATACAACCTGGAGGGGCAGGATGAGGCGAGGCGGGGCGCAGTGAGGCGAGGGGCGGCGATGTGGGGCGCAGCGAGGCGAGGGGCGGCACAGCGAGGCGAGGGGCGGCGATGTGCGGCGAGGCGGGACACAGAGAGGTGAGGGGCGGCGAGGCGGGACACAGCGAGGTGAGGGGCGGCGATGTGGGGCGCAGCGAGGCGAGGGGCGGCGAGGTGCGGCGAGGCGGGACACAGAGAGGTGAGGGGCAGCGAGGCGGGACACAGAGAGGTGAGGGGCGGCGATGTGGGGCGCAGCGAGGCGAGGGGCGGCGAGGTGCGGCGAGGCGGGACACAGAGAGGTGAGGGGCAGCGAGGTGGGACACAGAGAGGTGAGGGGCGGCGATGTGGGGCGCAGCGAGGCGAGGGGCGGCGAGGTGCGGCGA